ACAATAATAAACTTTCTACAAACCTATAACCAGCGTGAAATATGTTCAATTGCTTAGGCTAACGTTTTCGGATCCCACTGGATCCTTCAGCTGGCATTCTAACGGATCGTTACAAATGGAACATAGCCTGATGAAGGATCCAGTGGGATCCGAAAACATTAGCCTAAGCAATTGAACACATTTTACGCTGGTTATAGGTTTGTAGAAAGTTTATTATTGTAAAATTAATATTTCATGTATACAAATAATAACACCATTTTTTAAATTTTCTTCTCAGGATTTAATGTATCAAGAGCCAACTAGATGGAGTCTTACATTCCAGACTTATGTGCAATTGACAATGCTGCAGAATCATAAAAAAGTATCAAATACAAATATAAAACTTATGGAACGTTCAATTTATAGTGCTAAATATTGTTTTGTTGAAAATCTTTATCAAAGGTAAATTTTTGTAACAGAATGAATTAGTGTAGGAAATTATATAAATATAGTTACAAAATAGGTTATATTTATGTTGAAATATATATCTAGTGGTCTTATGCCAAAAGTGGAGTATCTGGTTTTGACTGAATGGTTTAATTGGTTAATTTCTAATAAAGACTTAAAAATTGATTTAATAGGTAAATATCCAACTTCTATATTTATTTATAATTGATGAGAAAATAACTATATTAAGTTTTTTTAATATATTTGATAAAGTATATTTAAGAACTAAACCTGAAGTGGCATATAAACGAATTCAGGAGAGATGTCGCATTGAAGAGAAAGCTATTTCTATGGTATGTTTTGTTTTAAATATATTTATTTTATAAAAAGTAACATTACATTTTCTACAGTAAAATCACTAAATTAATATCCAGTATATTTTGCACAGACTGTTATATAAAGTTTTAAGAACCTGACAAGAATATAGTTGACAAAATCTTTAAAACTTTCTGTATAATAATAGTCTGATATTTGCAATAATACTGTATACAAGGCATGATCAACAAGTTGATTACTGCATCACTTTTGCAGATATGGCTCATCAAAACATGAAAAACATTTGTAATTTTAGTAGGAATATTAAAATTATATTTTTCACTTTTAATTATTTTCTATGGGTTGATGATTGTGTATGAGATGGTTAGGAAGAAGTATCCTTTGTATTGATAATCATTGCTAGCCAGATATGCCATTATTTTAGAAATTGTTTTATTGTACCATAAATAATTCAGTTCAGTGCAAATGAGTGTGCCAAGGAGAAGCAAAACTTATAATTTCTATAACAGAAAGAAATGCTATTTTTTGTTATGGCGAAAAATAAATGCTGTCATTTAATTTATACCTTAGTATCTTTTACCAAAAAGAGATAACCTGGAACATTAATTACTGTGCAATTAATACAATTATGTTTTACAGAATAATTTCATTAGGGTAGATTATTGAGATTTCACAAATCAAATATGTCATCAGTGCTTTTAACTCATGAAAGTTGGTCACTCCCTGCTTTAAGTTGGGCAGGCCTGCTATATACAATTATATATATATATTTATAATGTAAATTATATTTTATATAATTTACATTATAATTTAATTTTTAATTATATGTTAAATGAATTTTTCGTTAGTGAATTGAATAATATGATTAAACCATTTTTAACTCAAAACATATTACAATAATTTCTTCATTTATGCAACCCTCCATTTATGCAAATTCACTTTAATATAATAAAAAATTTTAAATTTTAAATAATCAACTTTATGGAAATAAATAATATTTACATTGAAAAGCATTTTGTTTTCTTTATCAATAATCTCTTATATAGACATATATTTAAAAAAAGAAAAATAACTTTAGCTAAAACTTTTCTACCCCAGTAACAGTAAAATGCTGTATTTGAGAATATTGAACAGATTCATATTTTAAACAGCTTTCCACATCTCCATTTACACACTGATTTTGTGGAACTCTTTCTAATTGAAGGAATTACTGAATTAAATAATCAATTTGGATTTACTATCAAAGCTATGTTTTGTCCAATTAAATATACAAATGCTTTGAAATTTGCAATTAAGGAATGTGATTAAGTCACCATCTTGTATTAAATTTAATAATTAGAATTACATAAATAATTTAGAATATTCTAGAAGAGAAGATTAATCTGCAGCAGGATTCAAACCTACAATTTCTTTGTACCATACCAAACTCATATGCTTTTGTATATTTGATTTATTTAATTAGCCAAGCTATAGGTCAGTAATACAACTATATTTCAAAATCATAGAATGTTACGTATAACTATGAAAATTATTATTTTAAGTATTAACTCTATATTAATAAAGAACTCAAAAGATGTAATAAGGAAAGAAACTGTCAATTTGAATTA